GAGGTCTTCCGTCCGTTTTAGGAAAAGAAACCCACGTAAAATCGAGCTGAAAAGAGATTCAAAATTTTGGTCACAAAGAAGATTGAAACCATGTCGCCAACGTGAATGCGCTTGTTTTTTTTAACTTTTATATCCCCAACGCGCTAACCATTAAGCTATTGGGAGTACTGCTCAAAATATACTTGTGTATACCACGGTACTTTTGCAACAGTTCACCTGTCTAAGAATTATAAAAAGCATTCATAATTTCGCGCCAAACGCCACGAGTAAATATTCGCGCCTTTTCTTTGGACTGATCTATTAGATAGGTATGATAGCATCAATTAAATTTTAAAAATAAAACATTCTTAGCGCCTTTATTTTATTTTGACGTTAAGAAAGTACATGTAACACATTATACACATTACATATCGTATCTAGCCCAGTTACACTAAAGCTGTGAAACGGAAATTAAGTTTTAAGATTGACACTCAATTGCAACGTACTACTGTAATGTGTCGGATCTGAGCGGTCAGTAGGTCCATGCTCGGATTACTGAGTTTTACTGGGGATAAGATTGAATGCAATGTATACAGATAATAATATGACACCTGCCTGGTGTCTTTAAATCAAATGACCTAAGTGCTTTGTATAATTATATATCTTCATTTAATACCGGCACCTGCCTGGTGCCATATGATAATTGCCTCACGATACCCGTACAACTGACTATATAAGTCAACATCTATCTGCATGGTACCTCTTGATTTAGCCTTTAACATCTGCCTGGTGTATAACTGCTTACCAAGTTGCCTATATAACTCTAGCCAAGTGGCTACAATATACTATAACCTATAGCTAATGTCACACAGCTACATTTTAACTAGTCACTGACTACGGCAACTTTGCACAATCCTATTTGATTGATAAACCAATTGGTTTCTGTACCAAAGTGAAGGCACAAGCTAGTTGGCTGTACTGCCCCCTTGTACCTCAACTTCATCAATGATCGTAAGTTATCAGATATCATATTGATAAAACAAAACAGATTGCCTTTCTTTTGGCAACACTATTATTATTTTCTAACAGAACATCATTTATCAATAATACTTGTATAATTCTTTAGTCAATTGACCAATTAATTACAATATTTACATTGATTATCTATTACAATATAAACAAGTAACGGGAGATAACTCCTCCAACCATTTCACTACTACGTGAGAGTCGAAGTAGTTTTTTACATTTCATGTTTCCTTATGTCAGAATGGTTTAATCAAACGCTCAGCTGCCTCCATAAACCCCTACTCGCGAAATGGCGGAGTTGACAGAGACAGCCGCCATTTTGGACCCGCTTCAGATTTTTGAATGCAAATATCTAGACTTGAGATTTATCAACATTCAAACAAATTAAATTGTAAGCATTATAAGGAGGGCTTCTATTACCATACCAAATAAAAATGAAAAATACTGAAAAACAAAAAAGTTAGAAAATACGATTTTTTTAAATTTGCATCTCGTAACGACCGGAAGTACTGACGACGCACGAAAAGGCGATTCTGCAATCCACAAAGTCATGATCAATCATCTCCAATAAGTCTCCAGTCCATATCCTTAGCCATTTTCGATAAAAGTGCGCGACAAAATCGCATTTTAAAATCAGGAAATTGTCCATAACTTGGCACCAGAAGCGAATTTTCCAAATTTTTCTTCGGATGTAACAACTTCATATAATGACGCATATTTTGTGAAAGTTTCATGAAAAACCACTGAATAGTTTTCGAGAAATCGCCTGCACAAAATTTTGTCAAAAAAAATAATAATAATAAGAATAATAAGAAACAGTAGAATCACTATAAGGTCTTCCGTGAAGACGGAAGACCTTAATAATAATAAGAAACAATAGAATCACTATAAGGTCTTCCGTGAAGACGGAAGACCTTAATAAGAAACAGAGTAAAAACAATATGTTCCCCAACTTCGTTTGGGGAACATAATTAAAACTTTATATGAAATTTATATCACAACAAGAGAGAAAAATTAAAAATATTGAAAACTATGAATTAAAATTTGAAAATTTAGCAAACAAGCCCGCACAATTCTTGCCTTTTCTTAAGAAAACTCCATTTTTAAAAATAAATGAAACTGCACTGCAACGAAAACAGAAATGTATTAACAGACAAATATCTGTCTGGCAGAAGAATGAACAAAATGATGAATGGACAGAGAGAACACAGACACATTTCTTTTACAGACAGAACAACCCTGTATCCTCAATGAAAGGCCTTTCAGAATCCTCTACACTCTCCATTCTCCATCCGATCGAGATTCCAATTAAACAAACAGGATTTCATAAAGTTCCTAGGAGAATTCCAAATCATCGAAGGAGGGAAAAGGCGCGTAAAAGCTGAACACCTGTTTGAATGGAAATACCCAGCTGAGTCCCATGGATATGTCAGTGTAGCTACTGTTAAGCGTGGGTATCATCTTTCCTGTTCCACAACAGACATGGTGGCTGTTAGTGATGGGATAAATCTCCTCTTGACCAATCTCAAAGGTCACACGTTATATCATCTAACAGACATACAGAAGAGTAGTGGAGGTATACATACAATGACGTCAGCGAATGACCTAATTCATATTGAGAACGAATTAAATATCAGTAAACTATCATCATATACAAAAACAAAAAAAAGGTAACAGGTTATATCATCTAACAGACATACAGAAGAGTTGTGGAGGTGTACATACAATGACGTCAGCAAATGACCTAATTTATATTGACAACGAAATCCTGATTAACTTTAGCGCATCAGACCTTATACGAATATTTCATTGTCTAAATGGTAATTGTATCAAGGATGAAATGTTTATGCTAGTATATATATTTATCAAGTATATAACTTGCAGATATTGTCCATAAACTAGTGTGTAAGATTTCGGATTCGAATTTATAATTCTTTATCTAGTTAAATCACTATAACAAAAGCTGTGCAGTCTGATAAGAATGTTAACATTGACATTAATGAATTCAGAAAATGCATTGTTTAATTTTGTAAATATGAATCAAAATATGATATTCATTCATTAGCCCAATATATAAGAGTTAGAATGTTCCTTTTTACTACGTGCAATTTCAAAGAATTCGAAGCTATTTTGTCCAAAACTTTAACTTTTACGATTGAAATAAGATTAAACCTCGATCATTTGTAATTTTCGTACGTCAGCTAGAAGAATGAAATGTATTTGTCTATTTGTTGTTCAGCGTCCCCCTAGAGAACTTTTCTCTCATATGGAGACGCAACCGATGGAGAGCTGCAAATTTTGTCCTATACTCGGCACTAATGACCATCGAGCAGCGAAGCATCATTTTCGTGTTAGCACCCGTTACCACACGGGAGCTCGGTTTATACGGTCTCATCCAAAGGACCGATCTTCACGTCCAACAGTGGGAATCGTATTCCGCTACTAGAAAGATATATAAAGAGATAGGACCAGCTCAAAAATCTAAATTAGACAATGATATATATATAGAGATAACAAACAGTGTTCAAGCTCAAAAGTCCATAGGGCAATATGAAATTGATGCAGAGCAAACACGGATCTCCAAAACATCAGAGTTCAGGTGCTCTAGAGGAGTGACCATCCTATGCTTTGGGTTCCATTTGTCGGAATGGGCATCTAGAACATTAAATTGGTATTGTATAAGATTTACATCCAGAGAATTATTTGACTTTTTGTGATGGTTTTAAAATGTATTTTTTCTAAAATTACTAAAATATCACTATAAAGAATCATGATCAAAGTCCATAAACAATACAAAATAGAAACAGAGCAAACACGGACCTCCGAAACATCGTAGGTGGGATTAGGTGGCATGGAGGAGTGAGCATCACTTGTCGATCAGTCACACCCGCCGTTTGCTCCTTTTCATGATCGGAAAATACATAAAACTAGAGCAAAGCTCGTTGCAAAGCAACGAGTAGGTCTTCCGTCCTGTTTGACAGGAAGTAGCTTTCATTTTTCACAAAAATGAGAAATAACGCCCAAAAATGCTTTGAATCATCTAAAGCTATGCTAACTAATGAAAAAATAAGCCATTTTTGCTACTTCCGGTTTGACCGGAAGTGACGACGACGCACGGAAAATTAATTTTTTAGCTCCCAGAGACATATGTTACCCAAAAACATGTCAAAAAGGGCAAAAATACGCGTTTTCTGACTACTTTCAGTTTAGCCGGAAGTGACGAAACTGGACGTATTTTGACGACTTCATTAGATTAAGCTTGACATTTTTAACAACTTTGCTTCTTTGATGTATAACAAATTCTCAATACATTTTGAGATATCTGGAAAAAACTTTTGGCCACTCTAAATCTCTTAATTTAGGGGTCAGTCCTTTTTCCGACATATCATTTGAAAGATCTTCTAATTCTGCACAAATTGTGTTCATATATTTTAACAAAATATTTTTAGTTTAGAAGATAAAAAGCAAAATATGAGTAATTTTTGGTTCTTTTAAGCGTTCTAATTTTTGACCCCTATATAGCGCCATTTTGAATAGAGAAATCGAAAAACAAAAACCGATGTGCACAACTTCAATCCTTCTTTTATCTAAAATCAGTAGAATTTCTGCTCCAGCTTTAGCCGTCTCTGAGCCTTTATCTGGAAACGAAAGCCTATAAATTTTCGTTTAAAGGGAAATAACTCAAAACCGGAAGTGACTTTTTGAAATTTTAGCTTGCATTCTGATAGAGTTTATAAACGTCTATAACCTCTGAAAATTTGAGCGAAATCTGTTGAGAAATGAGTGAGATATGAGGCCTCAAAGTTGCGGTCTAGGAAGTAGAAGAAAAAAAAGAATAATAATCTTTACCCTCAGAATCAGTAGAAAGTCTTCCGTTGGAAACGAAAGACCTTATTAATAAAACACAGACCACCTTTCTACCTTTCTCTCTGTTTGTTATATGATACTTGATGTATGCCGTGTTTACTATTATTCTATTTTCTGTAAAATGAGATACTACTTCCTTCTCCCTAAATGTTACACAGGTATTTCCTTTTTTACTCATGTTTTATCTTTAACCGTACGTGTTATTATCCAGGTATATCAATCCTAAAATGGTAAGAAAATTCATTTTTGACATTTATATACCTTGTCTTTTATGTGACAAATAAGCGCTTTGCAAAAAAAAAAATTCGACTAGAAGAAAAACTGAGAAGTCAGGTAATCTAGTAAATTTGTTTCTATCTCTCAACTTTCAGTTTCGGACACATGTGTTAGGTGAAAGTTTTGATATCTTTAGTGACTTGCACAGAGAAACAAAATGAAGTACATTCACATTTTCTACCTAAAAGGTGCTCTTATTAAGATATACTAAATGTTTTAGTGATTTCACCGAAAGAAGAAAAAAAAAAAACTATAAACATATTCATGTTCCCTATTTCCGTTTTTGCTTCCTCAAAAAAAGATGTGCATAAAGGTGTGAAAGGGAAAATGAGAAGAATAGCTTCGGCATTGGAAAATGTCTTTGTCAAATTATGACACTAAGTTCATCATGCTTTGATATTGATACTGTTCGTTATCTCCATATCCTTCATTCTGTAAAAATTTGAAAGACAGAAAAGGAGATATTTTCATACGTAACAATTTCGCCAAAATATAGTTGATAGATTTCAAATTCAGATTACCATTTCTATTTGAAGTTGAACAATTGTGATAAGGAAAGAATATTATGATCTTTTTCATCTAAATATATAAGACATATTGGCAAATATACTTCGAATATTTCATCTAGTCAGAAACCAGAGAAGAATCCTACCTTAGGACAAAAATCCGCCTACTTAAAAAGATAAAGATAACTTGGAGGTCGATAAAATATATGGAAATACCGAACAATTTCAAGCCAAAGGTCGATTCAAACACTATAAATCAGGAGCAGAGCAAAAACGATTCTAGGTAAAATAGAGTTATGTCCAGGACACAATCTAGTAATGATATCGACATATTAAGTTTTTTTTATAGCTTGCTAAAATATTTTTTTATATTTGAGTGTGTTATTCAAAACTTTCTCTTAGTCGTGTGTTATACAAAACTTTCTCTCATACTTAACTTTATTTCGACGATGCCCTATCGATATCAAATCAAATTTTTTCAATGAATTATCGTTACGACCCTTAATATTTTGCTTATAGCAAGAACATGTGAGTTACTTAAATTATATATAGCAGGGGTTGCTCACTCATCCATTCTGGTACCCAATCCCATCTCAGATGTTTTGGAGATCCGTTTGCTCTGCTTCAGTTTTGTATTACTTAATGGACTTTTGAGCTTGCTTATTAAGTCAAAAATTCACTTTAAAAATGTTCAAATAACAAGGTTCACTTGTGCGTTCTTTAGCCCTGTGAATTTCTGAAAAAAAACTACAACTGCTTAGTTTTAGTAAACAATGCATTTAATATCACATAGATCTTTGATGATTGCGTATCTATCAAAAATGACGTAATTTTTGGCTAGTCATTCTATTATGACGTCACAAAATGCGTCAATTACCCTAATTCTAAAAAAAGTCTACACAAATGGCCTATTCTTATATCTATTTTTCGATGTTTGATACATAGCGCAACCTTTGATATAAAATATGCAACTAGTAAATGATAAAACTATTTCTGATGATTGATTAAAAGACATGATTATTTTTTTTTTAGATCAGAGAGTGCGCTCATATTATTTTTTCTTCGCTGAAAGTTCTCAAATATACCTGTTTACCTTAAAATACAAGAACCTTGCAATTTCATAAAGCCAGTTCTCCCAGACCTGGACTTTTAGGAGAAATTCTTAAGAGGAAATTAAAGCACTAAATCTCTATTTTATTTCAATGCTTCAATTGGAACATCTAGTTTTAATCAATCAATTGGTATACATACAGGGTCATTTTATACATAAAGTGAACCAAGCTCTTTAATCTGATACCATCACTCAGCGATATCGTCTTCTTGATTCTGTGAAAATATCATTTAATTTTAAATAAAAGAAATATGAGAAGAATCGCACAGCAACTAAATGTTGAGTAAATAATATACTGTAAACGTATTATATTTGGCTGCGTATTCTTTTTAGCGCTTTTGGTGGAGAGAAACTTCTGCTAATTCAAGTACAACGCTAAATGTCTTCCACATATACACATAAATAAGAACATTGAGGAATGCGCTAAATCAAATCTAAGCTAACTTGTTCAAAAATCAATTTCCGCTAAATATCGTACACGCTAAATATAATACATTTGCAGTAATTACATGTTTTCAAGATAATCAAAACGCTTGCCTTATTGTATAGTATAAGTAATTGTCTTTTAATGTTAAAAATGAAATTATATACATGTACTTATATTTCTCTTTCAGAATAAAAAAGAAGCCAAGTCAAAGAAAGTTTCCTTCTGGGGCAAAAAGGTTGGGTATATCATTAAACTTGCTTAGCTTATTCTTTTAAACGTTTAAACACTTAATTAAGGATGGATTTTGTTTAAGTTTTATTTCAACTCAATGACTATGAAAATTATATATACTGCTTGTCTTACTGCTATCTTTCCCCGCCGTAAATTGAATTGCTTCAGAATTTTTTTTTCATGAGGTAATTGAAAAAAAAACAGCGGAAAATTCATTTTATTTAGGCACCAGTAAATATTTTTTTTGAAATATTGTGCATCGTATGGTTTATATTTTTGGAATATTTCAACCAGAGTAAAAATGTAGAAGAAGCTAAAGATGAGGAAACAGATCTGATTGCTGCAAAAACAAAGGCTGAACAGACGGAGGTAACAATAACATAAAATGTCTGTCTTTACACACAACAGCGTACAAATATGTCACCCTGAACTGAACCATAAGATATACATGTAAGAAATTTCAATTCTTAAAAAAAGTGACAAAAAACCTTACAACCCCCACCGAATGTAAGATGTTTCAATTCTTTAAAAAGTGGGGAAACAAACGTCAACCAAAAGCTATGCGGAGTGAAAGTACAGCAAAGTTTCAGTGAAAACATGGCTATGTAAAATATAGTTCCTGAATTTTCCTTTTCAAATCTGGCATTTCTGCACTGGACGGGGCAGATATTTTTAAATAAGACAATGAAAAATAAAGTATTTGTAAACTTTCTTGCTTTAGAAGATTCATGAACGCTTCTGGCCTGCTAAATCTGATTAGTTTTTACAAACTTTGGGAGCATATCCCATGATTCCATGAAGCAGAATTTGTTCAAAATCTTCTATGATTGATTGATTAGCAGTAAAATGTTTCACGTCCCTCTCGAAAATTTTTCACTCATATGGAGACGCCACTACTTGCCGGTGGAGAGCTGCAAATTTTGTCTTATACTCGGCACTTAAGGTCACTGAGCAGGGACTAATCTTTTTCGTGCCAGTACCTACTGCGGCACGAGACCTCAGTTTATAATCTACTTGAAAAAGACGTTAATGGTAATCTAACAACCAAGCTATATGGTAAACGTGATGACTTCAACTTTTCTATCGTCAACTTCCCTTACTTATGCAGCAGTATACCTTTATTATCTGCATACGGAGTATATATATCTCAGTTGATTCGATACGCAAGAGCATGCTCTACGTATGAACAATGTCTAAAACGAGGTAAATTATTGACAAGCAAGTTGATGAAACAAGAATATCAACAGTCTCGTTTAAAGTCATCATTTCGCACGTTCTATGGTCGATACAATCACCTTGTCAGCAAATATAATTTATCATTGAGTCAAATGCTGACTGACGTTTTTCATACTAATTGTAAGTCCATTATTTATAGACTGAATTGACAACGGATTTTTCCTTTTATTTCCTGATCATGACAAGGAGTACATTGCGGGTGTAACCGGTCAGCAGGGGATGCTCACGTTCTTATGGCACCTGATCCCACCTCTGATGTTTCGGAGATCCGTTTTTCCTCTGCTCCTATTTTGTATTGTTTTATGGACTTTGAGATTGAATACTGTTCGTTATCTCCATATCCTTCTCATCCGAAGGACTGGTGTCCACGTCCCATAAAAATCTTATACGTGAAGACGAAAACACTTGCTATGTCCTTCAATTCAACATTTAGATATATTGACGACGTATTGTCGATTAACAATGATTATTTCTATTCTTATGTAGATACGATATATCCCGATGAGCTTGGGATAAAAGATACTACAGAGTTCGACACATCTGTTTCATACTTGGATATTTTACTTGAAAAAGACTTAAATGGTAATCTAAAAACCAAGCTTTATGATAAACTTGATAACTTTAACTTTTCAACCGTCAACTTCCCTTACTTATGCACCAATATACCTTCATCACCTGCATATAAAATTTATATATCTCAGCTGATTCTATACGCAAGAGCATGCTTTACGTATGAATAATTTATAAGACAAGGAGAAATATTGACAAACAACTCTGATGAAGCAAGAATATCAGCAGTTTTGTTTTATGTTATCATTTATTAAGTCCTTTGGTGGATACAATGACCTTGTCAGCAAATACAATTGATCATTGAGCCAAATGCTGACTGATTTTTTTTCAAACTCGACGAGTATAAGCGGTCGGCGGGGAGGTTCACTACTCAATGGCACCTGATTCCACCTCTGATGTTATCTGTATTTGTTCTGCTCCTGTTTTGTATTGTTTCATTGACTTTTGAGCTTGAATACTGTTCGTTTTCTCCATATCCTTGATTTCAATAAATCAAAACAATAGAAATTAAAATAAAATATTTTTCAATGTCATTCAATGAAAATATTGATATGCAAATATTACATTAAATGAATATCACAAAATGGTAATAAAAACTGCTGCTTATTTGACGTTGTATAGTGAAGAAATAATAAAATGCAGTCGTATTTACTCTTTTTATGCCGAAAAAGGTAAAGATAAGGAATGTGGACCTATCTAAAAATGTATATAAACAATATAAAAACGTTAACATTGCATTAACAAGAACCCCCCCCAAAAAAAAAAAAAAAAAAAAATCTAGGGTAGGGATCAGGTGCCAAGGAGAAGTAAACAGTCCCCTGTTGAGCAGTAGTCCACAAGGAATAGCTAGTATATTGATACTTTGCTCGTTTGTCACTTCACATAGTGTTATAAAGAAAACCAATTTCAAGTGCTCTGAGATACCGGGGTATTCATGATTACATAGAAAAAGTTAGTACTAAATGAGTAATTAAAGTTATTTGAAGATTATATTTACAATTTTAGCCAAATGAAGAGGTTCCAAATAAGAAGACCAATGACGCAAGATCTTCTGTGGAAGAAACAAAGACAGGAAAAGAAAAGGTAGAGCATTTAGATTTTCATTTCAAACTTCTTAGTTTGTTATTGATATTGAGCTTACAAATTCGGTGTCCTTTCAAACATATCGAAAGTAACACTGCATGTACGTTTTTTTTTTTTTATAGAAAAAGAAAAGTAAACAGAAAAGTAAAAAGGTAAATGTTTTGTACAATATTCATTATCATCAGTGTGTATAACTTTTCAAATAAAACTACTAGTATTTCAAATAGAAAAATAAGACAAAGCATACATCATTTAATTTGCAGAATATTAATTTTTTTTAAACATTGCAGGCTCCTTAATTCTTTTTTTTTTTCGAATCGCTAATTCAATGAAAATGTATCATTAATGGCGTCAAAGCTGTAATCTCGTTGACTAGAAAATCAAATGCAATTTAATTTCTACCTACTTACAATTTTATATTCTTAATTGTGTTTAGAAAAGCAATAAAGAAACCGTTGAAGAATTAACGTCCCTAACAATAGAAATGAAAGACATTGCCAAAGAGAAAAAGTTGGCAAAAAGGAATGAAGATCTTCGTAGGCTAGAGGACGACTCTGAAAAACTGACCAAAACAGTGAGTTGTACTTCTTCGTGTTCAATAAGACATTCAACAAGTTTTCTTTGAAAAACCTAAATATATTTTAAAAATAACATTTAACTGATGGTGAGAAACGATACAGAAAACGATATTCTAATTCAGAAATAAAAACATACTAACTTGGAAACAAAAGAGGAAAAGATGAAAAACGTCAGTCAGCATTTGATTTAATGATAGGTTTTTATTTGCTGACAATGTCAACATAAACCTTCCCAGCTAATGTCATTAAGAATGATTTTGTACCTTAAAACTCTTTTTTTTTTAAAGAAAGAGACGGAAGAACAGATTTCTCAGCTTAAATCTATGACGACTGAGTTGACTGTAATAGCAGGGGACAACGTCGATAAGCTGGACAATAGAGGGGATAAATTGTTAGAGTTAGAGGCTAGGGCTGAAATTCTAGAGGTATGGAGAGAGAGAGAGAGAGAGAAAGAGAGAGAGTGAGAGAAAGAGAGAGAATGATTTATTTGATTTATAAAAGTAACATCTTTACAATATTCATCCCATATCTGACAAAACAAAAGGATATTTAAACAAGGTTGGTGAAATCCCTGTAACAAACTTATCTGTCAATAGTCAGTAGCGGAATATTACTTTATAAATATGGAAAGTTCACTTTGGAAAAAAAAAATCATTTCTTTTCTTATACAGTGTAGTTTCAGTTGGCCTTCATCTTCCATAGTATGTAAAACTTCCAGACATGAAACATTTGTGGTACATTCAGTGGTGGCTTTAATTTAAAGTTCACTCGGACATATCAGTCGACATATGACATTAAAGTAACTATTGTTACTATAATACGTCATCGGTGAATCTAAATGTTGAGTTGTGACAAATCCTCTAGAGCAAATGTTTTCTTCTTGTCATGTAAAGTTTATAAAAATATATTCTGATTCTGATTCATAGAAATATTAGAACAGGTCGGCCAATAAAGGAGCACAAGTTTTGAGGTAAGAATTGGTCTCCAAAGACTGCAAAAATGGTATCGACAAGGAGCTCAAACTTCCTTTTAATATCAACTTCAGTATAATTTTAGGTAGAATCAGGGTGTTTTTAACAAAGTAATTTTCGTTGATGAAGGAAGATAGGAAAATATCCTAGTTCCATTTTTATTGAGAAAGCAGTTGTCTATGATTTTTAAAGTGTACAAAAGTTGTACATTTTGATGTTAATAACTTTTGAAAAAAATGGTGATTTCAAATTTTCTAAAGCGGGGGGGGGGCGGTTTAAGCATCTCTTGCCCCCCTCCCCGTTCCCGGCGCTTATGGATTAGATCACAGTTGCACTATGAAAATCAAGTCATAAATATATGTTTTTATGCTGTTGAATTTTGAACCGGTTTTATGATCAAAATTTCACGACCCGGTTTAGTTTTCAACGTACTCAGGGTCTAAATTCAACACTTTTGGTCTCAGAATTAAACGTTGAAAAGATACCCACGGGTTAATTTTCAACCCGGGTCAAATATCAACGTTCACCTGTCCTCCGGGCTGCAATAATCACATTATACAACTCATCGATAAGTGCATAAGGTAACCCATTGTAACGTAGTTAACCTAAATAATACTATATAAAGTATTTTTTATCCAGTCAGACACAACATAATAACAACTAGAACTGTCCAAACGGGACAAAATACCCCCCGCTGGGTTTTCAGAAGTAAGCGTTTCCATAAGAAATATATTTATCAAACATGAATCATGAAATTTTTCTTCCAGTGACCTTGAAGTTCCCCAAATGACCTTGAGTCAAGGTCATGACACACCCTTGGGTCATGGGCAATCTTTGTGTGAAATGATAACCTACAAAGTTTATCCATAAGAAAGATATGGACCGGACACGAATAATGAATTTTTTCTTCCAGTGACCTTGAAATTCCCCAAAGACCTTTGATCAAGGTCAAGACAAATCCTTGTGTCATGGGCAATCTTTATGTCAAATGAGAACCTACCAAGTTTATCCATGGGAAAGATATGGACTGGACACGAATTATGAAATTTTTCTTCCAGTGACCTTGAACTCCCCCAAATGACCTTAGGTCAAGGTCAAGACACAATTTTGTGTCATGGGCAATCTTTGTGTGAAATGCGATCCTAACAAGTTTATCCATAAGAAAGATATGGACTGGATACGAATTATGAAATTTTTCTTCAGTGACCTTGAACTTCCCCAAATGACCTTAGGTCAAGACACACCCTTGTGTCATGGGCAATCTTTGTGTGAAATGAGATCCTACCAAGTTTATCCATAAGAAAGATGTGGACTGGACACGAATTATGGAATTATGGAATTTTTCTTTCAGTTACCTTGAACTTCCCCAAATGACCTTGGGTCAAGGTCATGAAACACCCCTGTGTCATGGGCAATCTTTGTGTGAAATGAGATCCTAACAAGTTTATCCATAAGAAAGATATGGACCGGACACGAATTATAAAATTTTTCTTCCATTGACCTTGAACTTCCCCAAATGACCTTGGGTCAAGGTCAGGACACACCTTTGAGTCATTGGCAATCTTTGTGTGAAATGAGAACCTACCAAGTTTATTCATAAGAAAGATATGGACCGGACACGAATTATGAAATTTTTCTTCCAGTGACCTTGAAGTTCCCCAAATGACCTTGGGTCAAGGTCATGACACACCCTTAGGTCATGGGCAATCTTTTTATGGAGTAGTAAATTCTAATGTCCCTCGGTAAGAAAGATACGGACAGGACACAGACGGACAGAATGGACCAACGGACAGCTAGACAGACAGAGATACAGACAGACGGACAAGGTGATTCCTATATACCCCCCAAACTTCGTTTGCGGGGGGGGATACGAAAATTTATACTAATATGAAAGGTATTGTTTTTTATTCATTTGTAAAGGTAGGATTCTTCTCTAGTTACTGAGTAGATGAAATACTCAAAGTATATTTGTTGATATGTCTTCTATATTTAGATGCAAGAGAATTAAAAGACCATTTTTTTCTCTCCCGATTTAATTTTATACAACTTTAAATAGAAATGGTAAACTGCATTTGAAAACTAGCATGGACTATATTTTTGGCGGAATGGTAGCGTATGAAAATATCTTCTTTTCTGCTTCTCAAAATTATTATAGAACATTGAATTTAGATGTAAATTAAATGAATAATAAGGGACTAAGGTTTCAAAATATATCAAATAAATCAGATTTTTCACACATACTAGAACTATGTTGGCTTTTAAATGCTTCAAATCTAAGTACAACTTTGAGCCAATAATCCATAAAAAGTGTTATTTCTCTCTTAGTAGACGAATAAAACGTTTAGTTTTTGTATCATTTTGTACCTTTATGTGACAACTTTACTATATGTGAAAATTGGAAAAAGTATATAGGAAGCATATAAAAATAACTAATATATATATATATAATAACTCCACTGTAAGTGTACATAATTTAATCAAATACAATTGAGTATATATTGAGTGGTTGCAGGGGAGGTGGTGAGTGAACTACTCAAAATTTGATAAGGATCATTTAAATTTTCTATGTATTTAGATAATCAATAACTGTATAACTGGCAATATTTTGTCCAAATGCAAAAAAAAATGTCTTTAACAAACTTGCACGTGTATTTCATGTCATGGAAATGGTTTCGCGTCACATTTTATACTTTTGCTACAATTGCACGATTTTCACTCAGGCAGCGGTGTGATTCTTTGTAAAATTTAAAAGAACTCACCTGGAGTGTTCACGCTCGTTTATTAACACAATGGCCCCTCAACGTGTAAGGCGTCGCAAGAAACGACAGAACAACTAGGTAGATGTATTGGAATGCTTGACGCTGGTTATTCACAACGTGATGTTGCAAATGCGCTAAACGTCAGCCAGAGCGTTGTAAACAGAGCCTGGAACCGACGAGGCAAACTTTCGTACAGCAGCACACCGACATGGGGGTGGTCGTCAGAGATCAACAACTCAACGCCAAGACCATTTTGTGGCTCTTCAGGCACGACGCCACCCCTTCTGGACAGCAACCAGCCTGCGTAACGACCTCCTGAACGCCTGGGGGTAATTGCTCGACTCAGACGATACGGAATCGGCTTCACATTGCAGGTCTGGATTCAGAGGGCATGTGTTCGAATCCCTCTGACTGTGCGACACCGGCGGGAGCGAATATGGACTGGGCTGAAGACCATGTCACTTGGACACAGAACGATTGGGTTCCAGTTCTGTTCACCGATCAGTCCAGGTATTGTTTGGACTTTACAGACAAGGAGGCAACGAGTGTGGCGACGACGACGTGAACGTTTTCATGATACCCACATCAGTGAACATGACCGTTATGGGGGTGGTTCCATCATGGTCTGGGGTGGAATCAGCAGGGATGGAAGAACAGATCTGCATGTCCTGGAGAGAGGAACAATGACGGGGGTGCGGTATGCGGATGAGATCCTGGATGTTTACGTTGAGACCCTACGCTGGTGCTGTTGGCCCTGAGTTCATCCTGATGGATGATAACGCCCGTCCACATCGCACGGGTGGTGGAGCAGTACCTTCAACAGGAGACAATTGTCCGTATGGACTGGCCAGCGCGCTCGTCGGAGTTAAACCCGATTGAGCATGTTTGGAACATGCTGCAAGTTGCCCTGTCATGCCGTAGAGCACAACCCACGACTTTGGCAGAGCGGGGAAACGCCCTCGTTGAAGAGTGGAAAAACCCTTCCAAAGGAAATATGGGGGTTTTATTGACAGTGGCTCGACGTTGTCAAGCAGTCATTGATGCAAGGGGGGGCCCAATTGGTTTTACTTAGTTTATGCATCGAATATATGTGATGAGGGACTTTCTCCAAAAAAATGTGCAATTTTTTCTCGGTTTTCTGTTAACTTTTTGGTAATGAAATGCCTTTTGTGTTGTTATAAGATTTCAAGCATTCCTTGTTGGTAAAATTCATGTTGTTCATAGATATCCTTTCATAAACTGAGTAAACACATTTTTGAGTAAATTTTTTGTCTGTTGTTATGTTAGTGGTAAAATTACACATATATAACCTAGTGATCCTTATAAAATTTTGAGAAGTATAAATATATTAATCTAAAGTTTTTACATCCTCTTCAAAGTTCATTTTAAAATTCCTTATAATTACTTTCTTTTTTGTAAATTCTGAAAATTATGAGTATAGAGGCCACATTATAATGTATTTACAAGTTTAAATATTATGTAAACTAGATTAATAGCTCTAAAATATACATGCATGCTCTTTTTACATCATGAATCATTATTTTTACAATAAAAATGATCTACCTTGGTATGACATCGATAGATGTCCAGCTGTGTTGCACCTTGTGTAGAATTGTAACAATGTAATTTTTATGCCCTGCCATAAATATGTCTTGGGCATATAGTGTTTGTCATGTCCATCTTCCGTCCTTCCGTCCTTTGTCCTTCCGTCACACTTTGCGTTAAGCTCTGTCCAAAGCTAAGTTTCAAAGAAACTATCCAAGATATTTTCATCAAACTTCATATGCTGATAGTTATGGATGAGAGCTATGCAACAGTATCAACATTTTTTGACCTTGACTTTTCTTTTGACATCAACCTCACTTTTCTTAAATAAGTGTTTTGCTCAGTTTTAAAACACCATTCAAGATGGTGTTATCAAACTTCACATGTTGATACAAATTTGCACAGATGATGCATCTATAGGGATGAGCACTCCAACTTGCTTCGGATGCTTGATCTGACCTTACATTTTCCAGATGAGTGACCAGGTTCAAATTTTGGAGCAGGTCCATTCCCAAGGAACTATAAGCCCTACCCAGACCAACTTTCACGAATTATGATCTAGGGATGAGCACTACCAGATTTGCTTCGGATGCTGGATCTAACCTACATATTTCAGATGAGTGACCAGGATAAATTTTTTGGACAGGTCCATTACTAAGGACCTATAAGCCCTACTTAGAAAAATTTCATGGATGATGCTCTAGGGATGGACACTACGAGACTTGCTTTGGATGCGGGATTGACCTTGATTTCCATTCCCAAGTAACTATAAGCCCTACCTGAAAAAAACCCTTTTTGATGATGCATCTAGGGATGGACACTACCAGACTTGCTTCGGATGCTGGATCTGACCTATATTTTCATTCCCAAGTAACTATAAGCCCTACCTGAACTAAACTTGCATGGATGATGCATCTAGGGATGGACACTACCAGACTTGCTTCGGATGCTGGATCTGACCTATATTTTCATTCCCAAGTAACTATAAGCCCTACCTGAAACAAACTTGCATGGATGATGCATCTAGGGATGGGCACTACCAGACTTGCTTTGGATGCTGGATCTGACATACATTTTTAACCGTACGGATCAAATTTTATACACATACAAATTTTCATTTTGCTTTTCTAATATATCCTCGGCCTCGGCGGGGCATTCATGTCCTATGGACATATTTCTAGTTTATATGCGGAATCCTAAATTCTGAGAAGTTCCACAGTATTTCATGAAGTGGACAATAACAAGCAGCGAAATAAGTGCCCCGCTGTTATTCACCTTTATCAACAGTGATAGCACCAAACAGATTTATAAGATCGGGACGATATTTCTACGGTCGAAATAGAATTTTTTAATGAAAAAAAAACAGGGGGGTGACAATAACTTCGCCTTTGTGATAATTTACGGTGAGTGTGCGAAAAAAAACTTCACTTTTGTAATAATGGTGAATTTTGGGTCAATTGGACTATTGTGCCGCAGATGCCTCTGTGTTAACCCCAAATTCATTTAATTGCATGTTTCAATTCATGCAGAATGCCTTTTTCTGTTTTGTTCTTTCCCTTCCCTGCAATTAACTTTCAATACATGTACATGTAGGTCACGATCTCTGCTGTAGCCGGTTGTTTACATTTTAGACTCGCTAAAATAGTTAAGATACTTCATAATTATTTTATTCTCACTTAGGAACTTATATACTTAGTATTTGTTAATCCATAATAACACTACTTATTGCCTGTAAATCAAATGGAATATATTGTAGATTTTTTGGTGACTGAAATTCTGATTTCAATTCATAAAAAATCAAAGGATTATATTTCTCAGAAAACGATTAAAATTAATTTTTAATAATTCCTATTAATCTTGCAAGTGTTGTTGTTCACATGTACATATTAGCAACGATCTCTGATTTAAACCCTTGCCTTCTTAGGTAGAATTTTTTAGCAAGGATTTAATTTTGGCATTATTAGCGAGGGTGTCGAGATCGCTAAAATTCAATTGTGTTTTATTTGTAATAACTTTATTAATATGCATTTTAAAAACGCTACAAAACATCTCGCTAAAAATAAAATACCAGTTTTAAGGACAAATAGCTAAATTTGCATTTCGCTTAAAATTTCCCCTTAAACGTATCACATTTTAACAACAAGTTACTGAATAGTCCGAAAGAGCAAAGATCAATTGAAAAGACAAATGGTAGTGATCACAGGGGTGCGCCATTAAGCTATAGATCAGCTATCAATGCTGACTTACCTCACCTCGAAAAATTAAACATAGGCGTTAGAAACGTTGGGGGTGTGCTTACCTCTTACTTTTTTTGCAAAGATAGACATTATGTTATATAGGCATATGACATTTGGGCGAAGGTTTACACCCGCCCAACCTTTAAACCAGACCCTGTAGTGTATAAAACATAAAATAGTCCATTGAACAGAAAGAAGTTTGTTTCTAGCCCCATCTCCACCGAGAAGATTTTCGTGTCTGGACAATAGCTCTTTTCACCTCCATTCAGCCTCCCGTATTTCAATTGCTTCCAAAGCCAATTTTAAACTTGGAATGATTTATAAGGAAATAAACACAGACGATCGACATGTACCTATTAGTTAAATTTTATAATAATTAAAACAAGCAAATTCAAAGAATTGTGGTCCCCCGCTTTCGGTGTCTTTGTGGGTGAAATGTTATTTTTTATGACATATTGTGGGTAATATGAACATACTATCATATGTAATTTATTTAGAAAGTAACACTGGAGTTGAATTTTTTTAAGGATGAAAACCCTAATCCTGACCGTTAACAAGTTATGGCCACAGTAAAATGTTTTTTTAAAAGTAGGTCAACTCCAAGTTCAAGATCAAAGGGTCAAAGTTTTTGATATCCAATGAAAGGTTTTCTCACAAGGATTACATATGTGAAGTATGAAAGCCCTACCCCTTACTGTTCAAAAGTTATGGTCAAGGTTAAAGTTTTTTTCATAAGTATGCAAATTTTTAAGGTCAAGGTCAAAAGGTCAAAATTGTTGATTTCCAATGAAAGGACTTGCCACAAAGAATACATATGTGAAATATAAAAGTCCTAGTATCTACTGTTCAAAAGTTGTGACCAAAGTTAAATTTTTTTTTAAGTAGGTAAAACTCCAATGTCAACGTCAAAGGGTAAAAGTTGTTGGTATCGAATGAAAGGTCTTCTCAAAAGGATTACATATGTGAAGTATGAAAGCCCTAGCCCTCACCGTTCAAGAGTTATGGTCAAGGTTAAAGTTTTTTCATAAGTACTTAAATCTCCAAGGTCAAAAGGTCAAGGTTGTTTGTATCCAATGAAATATCTTGCAACAAGGAATACATATGTGAAATATAAAAGTTCTAGCATCTACTGTTTAAAAGTTGTGACCAAGGTTAAGTTTTTTCAGAAGCACTAAATTGCCAAGGTCAAGGTCAAAAGGTCAAGGTTGTTGTTATCCAATGAAAGGTCTTCTCACAAGGATTACATTTGTGAAGTATGAATGCCTTAGTCCTTACCGTTCAAAAGATATGGTCAAGGTTAAAGTTTTTTCATTAGTACTTAAATATCCTCCAAGGTCAAGGTCAAAAGGTCAAGGTTGTATATCACCAATTCAAATCAAATAGGTGATATCACTTATTTGAGTAGGTGATATCACTTATTTGAATAAGTGATATCACTTATTCGAATAGTTGAGATCAGTTTTTGGCAGTAAATATCAAAACGGCGCACCATACATGCAACTCTCTCTATCCCGGTAAATACAAGAAGAATACAAGTAAAATTGATGCAAAGCATCAAATCGGCCGCAAAAAATTTAGCATTTAAAAAAATTATTTCACAATTTTAAAAGCGTCCATGCAAGGAAAGATATTCAAAGGTGAAACAGTTGAGTACTTTTTATTTCAGGCTGTTTTCAAAACAAAATAAATAATTTAAAAAAGTAAATAAACAGACATTTTACTGCGTTTGCTCATAAATAGATTCATCGATGTAAAAAAAAAAAGTCAATGATAAATGATTTAGAATTTATTTTCATGAATCAAAATGACAAAATGACATAAACCACGCCTTGATACCCCTGGATCTTGGTCACGTGATAATGCCCATAGTTTCTACAGAGTAGGCTATGCTGCAAGCCGAGGTGCAAAATGTAGAAAAAATATCTTTTTGTCATAAATTTCAGCTGTAGAGTATTTTCAAAACAGTTTTTACTAGGGCCTAGTTGAAGAACTTTTCAATTCACCATGCACTTTTACCACGTCATTATTATCCGGAAAATCGTGACGATTTCCTTTCATATCTTATACACTCCCGGGCTGGGGAGTATCTATTGTAAACTATTTTAATGTAACCATAAATTATCAATCATCTGATGAGAAATGATAATGAAATTGAAACAAAATAACAATAATTTATACTTAGTTCAAAGCAAGTTTTTAAGATATTTTAATCGAGATTTTTACTTGTTATAATTTAAGAATTATTTTACTGAACTAATGAAAAATAACGTCTCATTTCCCCATGTGCATTTTCTAACATAATCACAAATAGATCGGTCGCTGCTTATGGCACGCCAAATTGACAAAAATGAGATAATCATAGTTTCACAATCGATAAACTAGGTTTATCGGTTGTAAACTATAGTTTACAAACCGTAAACTATAGTTAACAACGTTAATGTATATTTCAGATCTGTAAACCATAGTTAACGAGATAATCTATGTTTCACAACCGTAAACTATACTTAACACCGAAAACAATCATTTGCGATTGCAAAACATAGATTATCTGATAAATACAGTTTCACGATTTTGTAAACTATAGTTTACAAACCGTTAACTATAGTTAACGATCTGATAAATATAGTTTCAGGATTTGTGAAACTATGATTAACAACTCTTAACTATAGTTTACGATTGTAAACTATAGTTTACAAACGTGAATCTATGTTTATCAACAAAATCTATTGTTAACGCTTTATTACAGACAGATAAACTTAGATTAGCATTCGTAAACTATAGTTAACGACCGTTAAATATAGTTTTACAGATGGAAACTATAGTTAACGAATTGTTAACTATAGTTCACGGTTTGTAAACTATAGTTTACAGTCGATAAACTTAGTTTATCAACTTTGAAATTATGTTTAGCTCATTTTTGTGAATTTGGCGTGCCATAGCTGCTGCGGTCGATAATAATAAATATTTGATAAATAATATACAGTAAACGCATCATTAGTCAGCGGTTTAGCGACAGACATTTGTACATGAACATTTACAAAAATTAGTCTTTTTGTTCTTACATGTACTATTCTCTGATGAAATAAGTTATTAGAAAAATATAATGACATCTCTAGAGAGCAAGATGAAAAGAAAAGCTGATACCACAACATAAAATATTTCTACGGCCAGATATGAAACGCATTAGATCCAATTTCTCTCTCCATAACGTTTAAACGAAGGCAATGATTCCTTTTAGAGAAAAATGATCGGAAAAGGCGTCTAAATCAGTGTACTAGTATATTCAGATGTGTCTGTCTTCTCAAACTTTTAACGTAAGAAAATAAACGGAATGTACACAACAGTCATTAACCCCATATACGAATAAATTTCCTTAAAGTACTCCGACCTACCTGCATGCGCTAGATCTTACTCAAAACAATTTACAATGTAATACGTCTTTAAGCTTGTCTATTTTCCTAATATTACATTTCAGTGCAGCCGAGTACACAGATGGTGTCATGTCGGCAAATGCAATGGTAGAAAACAATGGAAACGTTTTCTGGCCCGTACCTACCAAACTTCAAAGTTCCTGTAAAGTGGACGTGACCTACTTTCCTTTCGACGACCAGATCTGTAAAATGAAATTTGGGTCATGGACATATGATGGCTTTCAAGTAGACATCACTAATAGGTCATCAGAAGTGGACCTCACAAACTATGTCGTGAATGGTGAATGGGTTCTGATAAGTGTCAGAGTTCAAAGAAACGTGGTTCAATATACATGCTGCCCTGAACCATTTCCGGATGTGACGTTTTTTGTTCACATAAGACGTAGAACGCTTTACTATATGTATAACGTTATCTTTCCATGTATTATGATGTCAGCGCTAACGCTGTTGGTGTTTTGTCTCCCACCGGATTCCGGAGAAAAGATAGCACTCGGGATCACTGTTTTACTTGCCTTTTCTGTCTTTATGCTTGCAGTGGCAGAAAATTTACCAGAAACTTCCGAGTTTGTTCCACTTATCAGTAAGTAATATCAATACAATATACAATATATAGATAATATCTTTGTTGTTTTCACATTGTAGGTTTAATTGGTGATAATTTAAATTAATCTGAAGTGATGTGTTTCCAACATATTTTTATGTTCCTGTACTACAATATCATATTGAGAGGAAAACATCATTTTGGTTTCTGATGAGCTTTACAGTTCTGAACCATCTTGTCATTACTGCAATTTCTGGGATCATGGTTCTAAACTGTCCTTTGGCAATGACATTGATACGTCTATTATCACATATTTCCTGGACATATTCTCGAGCAGGACCCGGATACCCTATGGGAATTCCGGCTTATATTGCAGACCTATAAGTCAAATTATATCATTACCAAATAATCCCCAATCTTAAACCAGGAAGCATTAGTGAGGTCTGCCGCCCGTCAAAACTTTTTACACCATACATCATATTCCACATCATGTTGATCGTAAACAATATTTAGCACAATATGTATTTAGGTATATTTAGAGAAAGACTTGACTCATAGATAGTTATATTTTCCTCTACAGAAGTATATTAAATGTAGGATAATTTAAAGATTTTAACTTGCAAGTTTTTATGATTTTACAGGTCTTTGACCGACTATCGAATTATGTGCATATTTCTTCTAAAGTGAACTTGACGGGTTCGGAATATATTTAAATTTTAATCTTAGGTTTCGAATCAACAGCAATATAACCAAATCTTTTGGCTCTTTGGGAGAAACATTTTCCTTTTTAGACTGCAGATGAAACAAACCGCGTCCCTATGAAAGCACGGACTGCAATAAACGCACAGATGACCGGAATAACAATTTGTAAATTTATCACATAGCATGTCCCTTAATGCAGTCTGTCATGTTTAAAAAGATAGAAACTGGACATGGTGTTGTTCATTTGTAGTTCTCTTTTCCTGGGAAGGAATACAAATGACGAAGATATTGTACCAGCTTCACATTAAGTGAAATAAAGAAGTCCTTAGGGAATATCAGAGAAAGAGGAAACTGAGAAGAATTATACACAATTCCCGCCTTTAATTATTGGATATGAAAATCTTACTCTTTTAAAATCCAATTTTGATCTCAAATATTTGATTAATTCTTATTTTAAAAAGTTTAAAATCATTTTAGCTGTGCTGATCAAAGCCCAGGAGGGATAAGCTAATTGTTTGTCGACCGTCTAATTTTCTTGTAACTGGAGAAAATCCTACCTGAAATTTTGATTGGAAGAAGCAACATTAGATACTCATATTGAACATATAATTTATGTCATAATATATGATAAATATGAGTATCAAATGTTGCTTCTTCCTTGGCAAAGGAGGAAATTATAGCAAAAAAGGATGCTCTTGTTTTGAAAACGACGTTGGTTGAGTGTCACATTGCAACCGTTTACAGTATTCTGTTACATGTAACATGCAGCTGAATCTGTGATAAGATTTTACAGAATCATGAATAAGCTAGGGAAAAAACTGGAATCTTATAAACAATTCAATATGCCCATTAATTACAATGTTTATTTTAAATTATAAGTAATGAAATATATACATTGATGAATTTTACAGGAAAAAAACATGCGTTAGCTCCGAATTTCTCTCTAATTCCAATTTTTCAATTTTAGGTATCTATCTCACTATCGTAATGTCGTTGACATCAGTTTCCGTAATAATGACGGTATTCGTGCTGAATCTTCATCACAGAGGCCCAAACAGGCACCCGGTGCCGGTGTGGTTACGTAATTTCCTTCTTGGACCAGTTCATGATATGTTATGCATGGGAAAAAGTAATGGATTACCATCAATAAACCAAGAACAAAATAATCGAATTTTAAGAACAATGTCTTTAAGAGCAACGTTAGAAAATATTGCTCAGGAACTTCAGAATGAAGCGCAATTAGAAAATGGTGGAATGGCGGACACAATTATTACAGATGGACAGGGAACAACGCTCCATAATGACGTTAGGTGTGACGTCAGACTATTACCAAACGAAACGCACCAAAGGCCAAAAAGAGGAATCCAAGTAAAAAATTTGCATACAAAATCGCACGAAGAGATCGTTAAAAATTTACAAATTATTTTGGACAAGCATGAAAAGGAAGATCGAGATTTTCAAGTTATTCAGGAATGGAGAAAAGTAGCACAGGTCGTGGATCGCATCTTATTTTGGATTTTCCTTTTCGGAACATTATGTTCAACCATCATTATTTTGGTTATTACTCCAGCATCGAAATAAGTACATTCATTACCCATTGTCTTTTTTTATTATAATCATCTATGAAAACTTTTAAGTTAAAAAATGCATCTCATTTTTGAATCACTCTTTCATTTTTACATGTGTCAATTTTGTTTCATACATGTTAGTGCAAACATGTTTCAAATATATGATAAGATTTTTACAATTACACGACACCTTTTTAAGAAATTGAATGTATCTCCAATTTATATTAAAGATCTTAAGAATGTCACGATATTCAACAGAAGATTCAGTATATACCTCTCCTTTTTTGCATAAAAATTAATTTTGTGAGTTTGTATGAAATTAAATACCTGTTCGCTGGAGCCTATAGAACCAAGTCCGTCTTCAATCAAATTGGATGCTCGATGAAATATTTAGACATGGTTTGATTAATTTTAATTTTTTAAGACACTTGGTTCTACGTTTCTCAAACAGCGGCTTCCTTTGTTATTTTACTTTGTCAAATCATCAGCCATTAATGGGAGGACGGATATAACTGATTCTTTTAATATTATACACCTTTTTATGTGATATATCAGAACTTAGGTTCCACAATATATTATTTTGATACGCAATATTTTATCCTTTTCAAAAACTGCTAATGATGCTTTCAGAAGTTCCTTTAGATCAATAGAACTAATTTGACTTTCTATATACGTATGTCAGTCTCTGTCTTCGCTTTCTCAGTCTCTGATAGGTAAACCGGCGTGAGTTCTATTGCGGTGGTGAGATTTTAGAACACTGTAGTGAATCAATTCATTACACAGCTGAACAATTCATCATGATATTGAATGGCCGGTGGGTCATTACTGATCAGAAAAATGATTAATTAAAACATTATTTCCGGTATTTTCTAATCAATACAGACATCGTCAGAATGATACAAATTTGTAAAGCAGTTGGACGCTAGAAATACTCAACATGGAAGCTGATTGTTCTTTTTGCTACGAGTTTTGAAAATGGTCTCTTTTAAAAAAAATAAAATGTAAAGTTTATGGTTGTTTCCTTCCTTTGAATATTATCTTTGGACAAACTTATAGATGCCAAAAAGTCACGTCAAAACGACGTTCATAACATTCAAGTGTGTGGTGATAAACAAAACCTACCATTGTTTTTTTTTTTTTTTTTAAATACTTATATAACTATTAACAAAATGAAATTTTAAAGCAAAAATTGAAATTAATTGAATTAGTATAAATTATGTTTAATTTGGATGGATTATTTTTAAAGCAATTAAAAAAGTTAAAGTAGTGACATAACTTTTGCATCCACCCCCATAACATACTCCTTGACATAAGAGAAGAAAGATGTCGAACTTATTATTGAAGGAAACGATTATTCAGTAAAATATGATACTATAATTTAATACTCCGACATCTGTATCAACAATTTTAGGATAGTAAGAGGATATTGCATGAAAGGGTCACCAGACTGAGAAGTAATTGAAAAACAATGATAAACGTGGTCAAAAGGGGTTGATAAAAATCGTTAAATACCGTCATATGTCTTAGAAGAAAAAAAAACAGTCTCTATCTACACATCAAATTCAATGATTTTGTATAGTAATCAATTGCCACATCAGATTTTAATAATCCTTCGTTCACTACAAATTACTTTTTAATGTAAGGACATAGCAACCCACCTTACCTACTGATAATTTTTCAAGATATTTCTAATTTAAAATTACATGACATGTATAATGCCATCAGATATAAAGAGACAAAGAATCAGCAAGCATTTCCAGGAGTTTTGAAAATACATCATTTGATGAAATTTTTTGTTTTATTCCAAGAAAATGTACTAAATTTACTTAAAATATTCTAGATGTTTTGTTTATACAAAGTTCTTAAAAAAAACATGCACAACAGCATAAAAAGACATTGAAAGGTAGCACACAGTTCCTTTATTTATTTATTTATTCACCAATCAAGGGCCCTCAGGGGGCATATACCTTTAAGTATTGGAACTCTTCAACTCCTGGGAAAAAGACAATTAAATTTAAACTACATGTAAATTGCGTATGCATTATTTATTTAAAAGTACATGTGTATTATTAGAAATATGCGTCGTCATTTCTGTTTGGTAATTTTGAATTTTGAAGCTATCATACATAAGTTTGGAAGCAAAAATTTCGCAAAATTATCCAGTTTTGTACAAAAATGGGCGAAAAGAGAAAAAATATCTAGATATGTTTTGAATAAACTTGAATCTACACTACCTGATCCTGAGAATTCTTGCATATCAAGATTACTATTCA